CTTACTAGATATTTCGAAAAATACGAATTTCGGCTATTCCCTAATTCCATTATAAGCTACTTTAGACAAAAAGTTTTCAGATAAAAGTTGTAGATAATCACATCCTTAATGAGATTGTATCCTCCGCTTTTTACTAAAGCCTGTCATTTTTGACATATGATACAAACATATCCAGTGGTCCTCAAAATTAAAAAAAAAAATTTTTGGCAAATTTTTAAAGTAAAAAGCTCGGTTATTACGGAGTCACTTGAAAACGGTAGAAAGAAAATATGTTTCTTTTATCGAGATCTACCAGCCCTGAAAATATTTGCACTTATTCAAGAATCCCCCTGTATAATACCCAGAAAATTGACAATTTACAACTTTTAATGAAATACGAGTAGGTCTAAAACTGTCAATAACGTAGTTTAAATAGTGCATTGCTAGGCTCACTAGCTCTATCCATAAAGAGGTAAACAGTCATTTAAACCAATGCATGAATGATTCGAGGTGTAACGCGAACGAAGTCGCGGGAAAAAACTAGTAATTATTGATGACTACTGCTAATCAGTGACATACTATTTTTACAGTTGGGGGGTTGGAACCTTTGGTGTTACAACAGCAAAATAAAACACTAATTCACCACAAAACACCAACACACGGTTATAGTTTCACAGTTACAGTTTTTTAACAGTTTAACAACTGTCAAATCGATTGATTTCAATCATTCCAAGTTATTCCGTCAATTCATATGATAAGATTGTCAAAAAAACTTCACTTTACTTTAGATCAGCTAGTTTCGAATACACTACAAAATTTAAAGTGTTTCTTGATTCTTTATTAGGTATCTTGGCATGTTTACGTCACGATTACTAAATCCCCCTTAAGATGGGATGGTCACGGCGATGGTCACGTATGCAGAATGAAAGAAAACCGCATACAAAAATCTCTTCTTTACGGTAAATTATATTTACGGTATATTATTAACTTGCAGATGGTAAGAGAAAACCAGGTGTACAACTCAGAAGGTACAAGGATATTTTGCATTTTGAAGAACCAAAAAGTGAAGAGACAACAAAGCAATAAGGTTTTTGAATGTCCGGAGTGCGGAAGGAGAGATAACATCACGTATCGGGCTTTTTATTCACAGAAAATCTCATGAAAGAAAACGCCTTACGTAACCACCTTTCTTGTCAAATACTTGTCAGCGAGTAGTGAGTAATAGCAGTAGTAGTAGTAGTAGTATTTAGTTAGATGGCCAATCTATTATTGAATAATAAAATCTACTTTACACGCAGGGCCGTATCTAGACCAACATTTCGGGGGAGGGTTTGGCTCGGAGGGGGGGGCAAAAGCTGCTAGGAAAAAAGCATAATAAAAAAAACGCTTTGGGCTGCACTCAAATCTTCATTGAAAATAAAATTTTAAAAAAGTAAGAGGTAAAAATTATTAATCTTAAAGGATAAACTGGTCTTTTCCCTGGAAAAACGATTGACTACCTCTTCGATATCGATATTTATTTCTCTATGTACGCTTAATAGAGGAAGTCCTGTCAATCGCTCCTGACCTGTAGAGTTACGTAGGAACTCCTTCAATCGTCTTATGCCGCAACCGCACATGCGGCATTTAGCGAACTCCGAGCGCTCGTCAACTACCGAACGCTCGTGATCGGACTTCGCCTTTCCATCTACACATGCGGGCTCTGATAGCAACAACATAGAGATAAGCGCTCGTTTTCGTCGCCGATCGAGTCGCCGAACTCCGACTTCTTCATCCACACATAGTCGGCGAAGCCCCGATCGGAGATCGCCGATTACCGTACGTGCGGTTGCGGCATTAGGGTTGAAAAGACCTTCTGGTGTAGCTGTTGACGCTGGTAGAGTTGCTAGGATCATTAATAATAAAATGTATATATTTGGAAATATACACTAATTTGGTTGCGACTCTGATTATCGTTCTGATGGCGTTTTTAGGTCGGTCGACTGTAGGTAGCTGCTTCCATTTTTGCCGCCACAAGTCTAGTTCTGCTGCCAAAGTGTCATAGTCCAAGAATTCTTTGTCTAATAGCAGAACAAAACAAACGTTAATCACGTTAATGACCAGCAAAACACACAACATTCAAAATCTTGTCCTTGTCAAACTTTTGCTGTTTTAAACACTTGAATGTTGAAAGTCGAAAATTGAAAGTGACATTTGCTTTCAAAGTGGAAAAGTGAGGTTAGGATGTATAATGTATATTCATCAATGATTAAAGAATACAAGGACAAATAGCACCCGAAACCAAACTGTGATCATTCTTCCAAACAGTGTCGTGGCACATATTTTACTTAACATTGCCGCTTGAAGGGATATTTATATTTTTGATATTATATGTTTTCACTACGCCTATGGTGTATCGGGTGGTATCATACTAATTAATTACGAAAAGAACGTATTAAAATGTTAACAAAAGGCACATAACTAGTATCGACGTATAGTACATATCAAGTACATATAATTTCAGAAAAATAATTATCGAATTCAATAAAAAAAAACGCTAAAAAGGTGTAGGGGGGACTGTTTATTTCCCTATAAAACGTAACTTCTGACTCTTTCTTATCATTGCGCCTTTTACAGTTGACAGCTGAACAAATTACCATTGTAATAATGATTCATTCGTTATGTCTAAAAAGTTGGCGTCTAAGGTCACAAATTCTGCTGCAGCCCGTATATGGGCGTTACATGTCCTTGTATTCTTTAGTCATAGATATTCATCCATCTTCTTCTTCTGTTTTGTTTCGTTCTTACTTACTCAATGATCATTACTTTTTAAAAATTTTCGGCCATAATTTCGGGGGGGGGGGGGTTGAACCCCCAAAACACCCCCCCAGATACGGCCCTGTTTACACGGACTTCTTCCGTGCTACACTATTTTCCCCCGAAACCTCAATTAGTTGTCAGTGGGCAGACGATTTCCAATTTGTTACAGTTACATTCTAGACGGTGCACAGTGCTTCGTCCCATGGACAAAAATCAAAAAATAAGTTAAAATTTACTAATATCTAAATATATAATTTTATACTTATGGCAATGTTCAACCATCCTGTATATTATTTTTCATAAACAGCGTTTTTGTTAGCAAATATTTTCACTAAAAATAAATTTTGCGATCATTATCTCATCAGTGAAAAGAATAACGTTCATAGTAGTTCTGTATATTATGGAGTTAAACGGGTACGTACTTAATTGAAAGCCACTATGGATATTGTTAAACAAGGTATGTACTTTAAATTTATTTCTAAACAAGTTCGTGATTGTTTAGTTTTTATTTATTTTTAAGATGATTCTTGTAAATGGGTATAAAAATTTTAAGTTTTCAAACTTCAAAAAAGGCATTTAAAAAACATATCAAAACATATCGTATTTATTGAATATTTTTTGTTGCCATATTCATACACTTTTAATTTTTGTATAGTTCACCTGCGTCTGCTTGCGACGAACTTTATTTTATAATACTTTTCAGATGGAGTAAAATTGATAAGCAATGCCGATCTGGCTAATACTTGGCTTGACTCATAAGGACAAGAACTCAAAATTATTTTTATTTCAAAAAATATGTTCTTATTAGATATTGATGAACCTTCCAGTCAAATGAGACACCACTTGTGCCTGAAAAAGTCCACTATGTTGGAGCGAAACGTCGCAAAAAAAAGTGTCCATCTTTCAATTTATTATAAAATCTCATATCCAAGAAAAGGAAAAAATAATATATGGATCAAACCCTCATACCGACAAAATGAACAGTAACAACGCGAAAAAGTAACATATTAGAAAATGATGTACAGAAATATCTTATATGTGAGGATACTTCATCTACCTGTGATTTGGATACTATAAATTTGGAAGATTCTGTCAGCAGTGATTCTCCTGAATCAGAGTAGTTACGATCTATGCATTTTGTTGTCCTAAAGTAAATTTATAGTATCTTAAGTTTTTTTTAATTAAATATAACATTAATGTTTCTCTTTTTCATTAAAGAAAAACATTTTTATCTTATATTAGGCTTATATTGTAGGAATCATGTTCTAATGTTATTTCAATTCTTTTTTATCACAAGAATTTATTTAATACTTACACCGTTTTCATACTATAACTTATTATTTGCTTAGATGGAACACAGCTCCAACATTATTATTATTTATAAGATTTTTTTTTCACAAACGTGGGACTAAGAACATCATCATTTAGTACAATGAGAGTACTCATCATTTGTGTCAAATAAACCTAGTTTGAATAAATTGCTTACAATAAAAGAGAAGTTTTGGATTTTTGTCCTCTAGAGCCATATGTTCGAAGCACTGTGCGGTGTTTGGACGGCCGATTTTACACACCCAATAAAATTGTTGAATGAACCGCCCTTGTGCAATTCGCTCCGCTTTAATAGCTCCGTAATTGAAAGAGTATTTGCGCGGAAGGCTTGCTTAACAGCTATTTTATTGAGCTGCCGTTCGACGGTAATAAGCATCAGACAGAAGCTTGGCTCGTTTGTTCAGGGTACATCCGCCATATAGATAGAGGCATACCAACTTACGCGTTCTATAATTGACAACGAGGAACTGCCAGTTCCGAACTGGATATATTAATGTGATGAATTTCTGACAGACGATATATCCTTTTATAGAGGGTCCGGCAATAGTGCGTCGGGCATCTGTAGCCCCTAGAATAAAAAACTTAAAGTATGTGTTAGGATATATTTCAGGAAAATATTTTAACCTCTACCGGGTGGCTCAATAAAGTGTAAGTGGATCGGGATGATTTTTTTTAAATCACCTTACCCCTTTATATTACTGAATTTTTGGTTTCCTTTCAGATCATTTTACATAATCCTAAGATATGAGTAGATATATTTCGATAGTTTCAGAGATATTAATAAATAAATAAAAAACATATATTTTCAGCCTATCTTAAAAAAATTATTAAAAATACAAGAACTGTTCTGGAATCAAAACTATATTAGGGATTTACTTTAGGTCTGTACTTACTTTGCTATAACTATATTCTTCTCTTCTTTCAGTGCCTATGTAACAGTCAAATTAAAGTCCCTAGATATATAAAGTACCGCAATTACCGCCATATTGGCGCCAAAACTAGCGGCAAATTTAAAAAGGAGGCCAACATTTCGCTGTTTCGGCTGTTTAAGCAGCTGGTCGGTCCGGCGCCAATATGGCCGACCAACATTGACAGGCAAGCCGTAAAATAAAATATTTATTAATTGTAATAGAATTACGTTTATTATCTACAGTTTACCTTCATTTTAACGTAATATCAGGTGGTATATTAATATTCAATTTCATATAAATTTAATTTTTAGGCCTATATATGTTAAGAGGTTATAAACGAATGGTTTCCCTGTACAAGTGTTTTTCATTTGTATTAGCATTTATTTTATGTGACCTTTAGCGCAAAGTACGCCAACAGAAGTAAGTTAATAGGTAAGAAGAAATAAAGTTGGAATAATATTTAGAATTTAGTACTTAATTCAGCTCGAAACAATTGAAAAAACTTTGTTTGTTGATGAGAACGGGATACCTATACCATAAGTAAACTTTCCCTATTATAACCAGTTATGCTGTAGTTAGTTTTGACAAATAAGCATGATTTTGAACGAAAGTCTTGGAACTATGAATAAGCTACAAACTTAAATTTGAAGGCCTGGCTTTTATACGAGAAAATTTTTGAACCATGGTTGAAAAACAAATAAATGTAATAATTAAATTGATATGATACATACCTGCTATTTTTTAAAATATATTAATATATTGATAGAAAGATTGTTTCAATTAGTATTACTTCAGGTAGTTTCCTGACATTTTAGGTATGCAATTGTGCACTTAATTTAAAAATAACTTAGAAAGAAGCTTGAAATGCATAAGAGCTCTTTAGTATGTATGCTGTATAATTAAGGTTTGTTATGGAGTGGTTTTTATACAACAAATTTATTATTAGTTGAATAAAAGCAAGTTAATACCACATAATACAATTAAAATATATTTTACTCTGCAATTTAATGTTATATTTTTAAAACAACAAGTGTCATGATGTTTAAGTATCATTATAATAAAAAAGTTATACTGCTATAAATTTAACATTGAAATAACTGTAATTATTGTTATACATAAATTAAGTAGGGTATAATTTTACCTCGACAATATGTAAAACTTCAAATGAATCTTAACAATTTTATGTCATGTATAAAAATCAAATTTAAATCACACACTTTTATTTATAACTGACAGTATAAGACCAAATTTTTAAATATAACTTCAGATGCTTACATTATATTGTTTACTTTTTATTAGTAATTACAATATGAACCAAAAAATATTAATTACTATCAATAAATACATAAAAACTAATCTATTTAAGTCCATGAAAGTAACTATATAGTTAGCATATGCATAAACAACATTCTTGTTATTAGGATCAAATTTATTTGAGCTTTTTTTCATTGTTTTGATTAATATCCCTGGTAGTCCTGACTGGTAAACCACCTGAAGCGATATCATCCAAATCTATATATGTATCATAACATAACTTATTCTTTTAAATAATTATTCTTCTTTTGGTCTGATGATAATATATTGTAGATTTATCTAAACTTCTTGCTGCAAAAATGTTGGAAAACTAAACTACACTAAACATTTTAGGGAATGATTAAGTAGAGATTTCACTTACACTTTAGCATCCCTTTTAAAAGATATGTATGGTAGTTTGCAAGTAAGGTTTTTTGTCTTGTTCTAGATTAGATTTCTAGAGGTTGATCTCGGCCTGATCTCAGACTGCGATATTCATTCTCAGATCTATTGTGGTCTTGTCTTGTTCTATAATGAAGTTTTATGTACCAATAGGTTATACTACAAATAAGATTGTTAAAAATATTCACTGGAGCATAAATAAATTCAATCCACTACCTAACGTATATTGAATATCGACGATGTTAGAAAACACATCAAATTTTTCGTGTAATACATTTCTTCTTCACTAAAGATATCGACGCCTATACATTATTAACTAATAAATTTGTAGCATTTTAGTGGCTTTTATAATTATTTTAAAATATGTGGATAAATATTTTATCCTGAAATTGATAGCCTCTCAACATTTGGACATGACAAATTCAGACAAATGTGACATTTAAAACCGTCCTACCACTACAGTTTTTCCAGAAATACCCCAAAAATCCGCCATTTTGACGCCAATAACATTGAACAAACCAATTGCGGTACTTTATATATCTAGGGACTTTAAGTCAAATTTCCTCGCAACGACCTCTGTGTGCTAGCACATAAAATATCGCAAATAGTTATTATTTTTGCATCATGTTTACTATAATTTTATTGTTAAATATTATTTTATTTAAATTTTACGATTATGCAACCCGATATACACCGCGATATTATACATATATTGTCACTGATGCCGACCAGCAGTAGGCTTTTTTGTCCATCTCTATATCTTTGATCATCACCTCCGTCACTTGTCACTGTCAGATCAAATCAGATGTTTTTGGATTTATTTATCCTTTGTTTTGGTTATTGAAATTTTATAATTATCAGATAAGATTTCGTAGTTAAATTGGTTATTTTTGATGTGGATCGCAGTGTTGCAATTCGTTCTTTAATTGTGGAATTTCTGAGTTTAGTTCGTTCATTGACCGGATATGGAATATGGCTGAGGAGAAAAACATCATCATTTTATTTTATGCCTTTTTGTGAGTTGGACTAGTCAAGATATATAGTTCTCTATCCATATCCTGGAGGGAGATTTCTGGTTGAAATCTGATTTTGTGAAGGAAATCGAATCCTTGCATCACTTCTTGTGTACTCCCCGACCGAGAATATCGTCGTGAAGAAGTGGCTGCCGTTTCGTGAAGCATTCCCTGTTGGTGAATAGCAGGTCTTCGTAAAGAAGGATTAAGGCTTCCGAAACACCTTTGGTCAGAGACGTGTTGGATTTTCATGATTTTATGGACCGCCGACCAATTTCCGCAATGGGATTAAAATAGCCTAATTTTCCGACTGATATTCCGATTCCACGTGCCCAAGAAGTCCCCGCATAGTTCCAAGGTATGCTATAAGTCTTCTGCCTATTCTAAGTCAATGCTCAACTGATTTTTGTTCATATTGTTGTCTGGTTTTCGACTTTTCCACGCCCACGTGGTGTAGAAAGATTAGTTGAGTGTTATCTTCCTTAAGTCTTATTTGGTTGTTCGTAATTGTAAAGCAAGAAGACCGATCCAGACCGTACAGCACAGAACAGTCCAGAATTCCATCCGTTCCTGTTGCCCGTGTTTAGAGTTACCCGTTGGACATCATAAACCGTCGTTGAGGTAAAGTTCAGATTTGATTAGTCGTTCTTTATTACCTTTATTAATTCCTACACGTTGTGCTAGTCCTTGTTCTATAATTGAGGCTCTTTTCTAAGACAACCAATGTCATTTAGGGTTTTTATGTTCACCATTTGAAATCTCAACACCTACCTTTCACCTGTACCTCTGCTGACATCCGTGGGCTCCAGTGACAGTACACCGAGCTGCTGTACACCGCCTTAGCAACCCTATACGCCGTAGCTTAGCCGGAGGAAGTTTTCAAGTATATCACATCGAGTAGAGTAAGACTGTTTAGATATTTGTATAATTTTAGATTTGATTTATGGGTATAAACCACCCTGATTTTATCTAGTATTAAGTTAGATAAGAGGGTTTGACGTCATAGGTTTAGTTATTTCTCATTTGATTTAAATTCTATCTTCTTTTCGTACATTTCAATTTGCTTTTCTTAACACATTTCATTTCTCTTACATTTCATTCATTACTTTATATATATTAACTTTTTCATAGTTTAATAAATTGATTAAATATTTTTAGTAGTCTTATTTACAGTCTAGTCTCACAGTTAAGTTAGAGTCACTTAAGTACAAATAGTTATAGTAAGATTTGGAGTTCATGGTAGTTACACTCAACAGTTCGAGGTTAGTGTTGAAGTCTACTTAATAGTTACATCTTTATTGCCGAGTTCATAGAGTATATTCTCGTGGCGCCCTTTTATTAATATCTTTGAACCCCGACCACCCGGCTGTTAAAATTAAAAAGCTAGTGGCCTCTATGTAACTCATTCTGCATTAAGTAAACTTGTGTTTTATTGAACTTCGAATTAGAAAAGGGCGTTGGGCACCTATCCTCTATATGGATGTTGGCAATCATGTTGGTCCATATAATCCTATTGATGGCCGCCCTGAGTAATTAACTATGGTAAACTATAACTATGGTAAGCGTAAATCATACAGGATGTTCAGAATTCTATGCCAAACTTTCTAAAATATAAAATAAATATTCTTCGTTTTTTTAATGGAGCACCCTGTATATTATCGATTGTCATTACTCTAGTTAATTTTGAGGTTTTTGTGGAGATGTTTTTAAAAACATTTATTAAACAAGCGGGAGTACAATACGCGTTGATGGATTCTGAAGGAACCCTGTGCCTGCGTCGTGCAGCGGCTTAAATATGAACATAAGTGCTGATGAATATAAAGTATAAGATTTCTACAGGGTGTGTTAATTATACAATTATAACCTCCTCCTTAGAGGTGGAAATACACCTGGATTTCCTAATTATTATTTTTTAAGTTTATACAATTAAAAATCAATAATAATGTAATAAAATAATTAATCAATTAAATGTTAATAGATAATTGAATATAATGTAAAATAAAATGAATAAATGTAAAATATAAAATAGCAAAATGTGATTAAAATAAGCACTTATATTATTATATCGTCATTATCGTTCTTAACAACAATGCGTGTTTTATTTTTAAAGTATTTATAAGTAAATAATAAAGAAAGCAAAATCAATAAAATGTAGATTAATATTGTCCAAATACTAAGTCTTTTTACTGAAATATTATTTAACGAACTGAGAGAAAGTCTTTGTTCTTCTAGTTCTTTCTTGATATCTTGATTATTTTTCATGTTGATCACGTTGAGGTTCCATACAGGTGGGTTAAAGATGATGTCTTCTTCGGCAAAGGACATGTTGGTCTTTAACTTTGGCAGTAGAATTTCTTCGAACAGTG